TATTTCAATGAAGTGGAACTTGGGACTTAAAATCACTACACACCACAGTGAAATGGGGGTCAATAATAGGTTATTTCAAGTGGGAAAAAAATCTTTATTTCAAATGACCCAACAGTGATACAACATGGTTCAGTCCAGGGAAAGCCACAACATTATGCAGTAAACTCCAAACGAGGATGGGACTAACACAGGGCAGTTGTGGTCTAACAATGTTGCGTTACACACTTCCTAATAATTTTCAGGCGCTCTGCTTACATTTATGCCCAAATCCAGCTTACATCTGTGTTCCTATATGCATGCTCTACTGAAAACTTTTCAGAATGAGCTTCAAAGAGCCAACCTGCAATTTTATCCTTTGCTCTGATGCAGAAATCAATTTAACTGGAACCAACAAAGGGTGACCTTGTGATTGTGAAGTAATTGGAATTCTTGGCTTATAGAATTTTGAAAGCTGAAACAAATCATTTTGAAATTATTTTTAAAAAACAATGGTGTATGTGTTTGGAAGCTAAATGTTTTGATTGTTGCGTACCTTGGGTATGTATCTTTAAATTAAAAAAGAATCAGGCTAACCTGGATATTTAGGCAGAGTTTTGCCAAGTAATGTGAAGGAAAGTGTCTAAATTCAGTGAAACCCCTTAAAGCATAGTGGTGAGACAGCAGGCTGCAGTATTTATGTTGCTTCATATTACCTTTTTGAGCTACCATTTTCTGGATACTTGAGGTCATCTGATTTTTGTGCTTGATAAAATATACACAGAGCAGGATGCTGGCTTAAGTTCTTTGCAGGGTGATTGCCAGGGATTTTAAATATATGGCCCTCATTTAGTGCCTGCAAAGGATCAAAATGGGAAAGTGTACATGCCAGGTTTATTTCCTGTAATGCTGTGTAAATGTCAGTGAAGTGTATTTTGCTATAAGAAGAGATGGACAGGAAATTAATGGAATTTGGATCCAGGGTAATTGCTTGGGAGTCCATGTTTTATTTACTTATCACAGCTGTGTCGGATCAGTCAGTGGTGAAGCGTTTGTTAAGTGTTGCTTTTAATCATGTGTGGATTTTAGAATTTATATTTGAGAGTATTGACTGCTGTTTGTTTCTCTTAGAAAAGAGAAATGCAGCCCATTAGAGTAGTGATACATGAATCCTATTTCTAGTCTGTGTCACTTTTCCATATGTTCATGCACAGTTCCTTTTGATATCTGAATTATTGTGCTTTTTTAAATAAAAAAAATAAGCAACACAAATATTTTCATGTAAAAGAATGTTTATAAATATATTTTCCCTAAAATAATGTAGCTTTTCCTCAAAATCATAATGTATTATTTTTCTCCTCAAGATTTTTTTTAATGCAAATTGCATTGGAATGATTGGGAATGGTGAAACTAGGTTCTGATGCCAGAATCTAGGAGATGGACATACTATCAGGCCATATTTTTTAAAAAATATCAGAAAGATGACATTTTATAGACATCCTGGGAACATTTGCCTTAGGAAGCTGGACTGTTCCCTCTTTGTTCTTCTTCTGGCAGGCAAAGGCCTTTTTATTCCAATGATATTTATTATTGTTGTTATTACTACTTACTTACTTACTTACTTACTTGCTGGCCACTCCCTATCCACCTAGGCAAGGAGGAACAACAACAATTGACAAACAATATCAGTTAAAAAGACATCAGTTAAAACACACATTGATTGAAAGGACAAATAAGATGCACACATATCAAAACAACAATTCAGCCTTTAAAATCCACAATTTAAAAATCATTAGGCTTTGAGCCATTAACCACTTGCTGTAGAAGGCTCTTTTAATGGAGGTGGGTGGGCTGTATTTCCCCCTTTTGACATCTTTAAATGTTTCCAAACTGTTTTCATTTAATGCTTGACTTTAATGTTTCCTTATTTAACCCTTTTAAACTTTAGTTTGCTATTAGAATTGAAGGGTTTTAGTAGCATTTAGCAACATTTCAGAGCCAGCGTGGTGTAGTGGTTTGAGCTTTGGACTGTGACTCCAGAGACCAGGGTTCGAATCCTGGCTCAGCCACATAAACCCACTGTGTAACCTTGGGCAAGTCACATACTCTCAGTCCCAGAAGATGGCCATAGCAAATCCCCTCTGAAAAAATTTGTCAAGAAAACTCTGTGATAGGTTTGCTTTAGGGGTGCCATAAGTTGGAAATGACTTGAAGGCACACAACAACAACAATAACATTTTGCTTTAATTCATGGGGGAAAGGTAGGATTTAAAATAAAAATAAATAATTTAGTAACACCTTCCCTTTCTTTAATCACTTCTGACCAATGATCTCTACTGATTTTAGGGTTCTTCCACATTCAGGAGTTTGTCTGCATGTTGTATTTTGTCCAGAAGCCCATTCATACTACACACTTTGATTCCACTTTAACTACCATAGCTGCACCCTGTCAAATGCTAGGATTTGTAGTTTGGGGAGGCACTAGTGTTCCCTGACTGTGTATTCTAATGTAATACCACTTGCTAAAATGCAAATTCCACGATTCCAAAGACAGAAGTATGACAGCTGAAAGGAGATTATTCCCATATACAGCAATTGCATAGTGTGAACTGGTCCCAAATCTCCATGTCTCTGGAGGCTGAATAGGGCTGCATCCACACTGCAGAAATAATCCAGGTTGACACCACTTTAACTGCCATGGCTCATTGATATGGAATTCTGGATATTGTCATTTGTTGTGGCACCAGAGCTCCGTTGCTGAATTAATACAGTTTTAACACCACTTTAACTGCCATAGCTTGATACTGTGAAATTCTGGAATTCGTAGTTTGGTGAAATATCTAGTCTTCTCTGTCATAGAGTTCTAGAGCCACAGCAAACTGCAAATCCCAGGATTTCATAGGACTGCCAAGAGAATTAAAGCGGTGTCAAGCTGCATTAATTCTGTAATGCAGCATTAGCTCCACATGCTTGGTCCTTGTATTAAACTTTCCCTCTTCCTTTCTCAACCCATAAAAATGAGCACAGGAAGATCCCTGGTTATCAATAGATTACAAAATTAACATTGTGTTGGGCAGAGCTGCTGTTTATCCTATCTTGAGTTGAGCCTAGCACAGCCCTTGAGTTCTTATGAAGGATATATGGAGAGAAGGAGGAATTGTAGGGAGTTAGTTTGGCATTTAGTGCAAATTGTGGCCAAAGGAGGGTGGGAGGGGAGTAGAGTTCAGGGAATACAGTGGAACCTCTACTTACGAAATTAATCCGTTCCAGCAG